TTATTTAGTAACCTTCCCTAGATTACATCAGGTAGATTAAAGCTCAAGTTCTGGAACCTTCATATAAGACTAGTTATTTTTTTTTCTCCCATCATTACTATTAGCATTTCCATTATCATTAGCAGTATTACTGTTTTGATAAAGGTGAAGGTCTTTTCTGATCCACTCTCTTAGGCATTTAGATGGTAAATTTTAAGCAAGATTTTGGAAAGTTAGGCACAAAACTTTATTAAATGGATTAGTGGTTATGCATATAACATGAATGATGATAGTAATAACTACTGTGTAACTATAATGTTATGGCATGGACATCCTTACAACAAACAATTCAAGAGTATAAAAAAAACAGTGTCCATTGCTTTGTAAAAATATTACACTATCAAAGAGTGTATGTCAGCCATCTTTTTATATTTTGCATATCTGCTCTCAAAATATGTTCATATGGTGTAATTTATATGCTGCTCTCTCAATTAGTTGGGTATAATAGAAATATTGCAAATTGTGATCCCAAACTATTTTAATTTTAAAACCTTGAAATAATTTAGCTATTTTTGAAGTTTTAATTGAAAAATTACTAAAATAATTGTAAAAAGAAATACTTATACTTTTGCATACTTAAAGCATGTTTTACAGTTTTAATGTCAATTTATCATCCAAAATTAGGATTGTCATGATTATCTCTAGAAAAAAAAAATTAAATGCTGTAATTAAAAATTTTCCAAATTTAAATTTGTCATAAAAATATGATTTTATGAAAGTTAATGATTACTCAACTGGATTTCATAAAAAATATTACTTTTTACTTAAAATATAAAGAAAAATATATAGCAGGGTATCTGTTATTTATCAACTCGCTTCAAAGGTCAAGAGAGTATTTATCCATAACTACCAATATGTGATGTAAGCCTACTTAAATTTATATGCAGCTCATGGACAGTTGAATATGGATGACAAAGAAATGAAGAACTTGATATTACTCAATAGCAAAAACATGTTCTCAACACTAAAATCTCATACCAGGATTGATTGATAAGAAGCAACACAAACTTTGCATTGTCATTAATAATGGGAATAGACCATTTGGATAAAGTCCTGTTCAAAAATGCTTAGTTCCAGTTTGCTATGTAATGGCATTGATTAGTCATGAATACTATATCCAGGTTATGTGTCGAGCAGCTGTCAATGATAGATTTTTTGGTACTGGAATATTGTATGCCAATTGAAATTTACAGATGTACAGAGGCAATGAAGCTCTTCTGACCTTCAAACAATGTATCTGCAGAATAGCCTGAAAGGAGAACTTATTTTTGTATCATGACAACACAAGACCCTGTTGACACATAGTGAGAAGCATGAAATTCACATTTGTTGAATTTCATGCTTAAAAAATACTGAAATTCTCAATTGTCTACAGCTCTGACTTGCTACTATAAGATTTCTGGATGTTCCCAAGATTGAGTGAGGCATTCAGAGATGAACATTTTGCATCCAATGTGAAAAGTTGCTGTGTACAACTGAATCAAAATCAGGAACTTTATGAACAGAATGAAAAAGTGGATAAAAAACCTTTTGTAAGGTTGGATACCTTCTCAATCAACCCTCATATGTTGGCCAATAATCTATATTAAGTACCTCTGCTAGGTCGCGTAAAAAAAACAGCATAGCATGATGAAAAAAGGCCCCAAATTCAATAAAAGCAAAGTTTTGTCATCAAAATATTTGTTAGTATTTTTTCTTTTGAGAAAGTAAATCACTAATTTTTTTTGTAAAACAGTTACCTGTTTCATCAGAAACCTGCTCTGAATTGTAAATAAAAAATGTAATAAAACTGACATTTAATTAAAAAAGCTTTTAATTGCTTTTGTAAATAAGTTGTATTAAGGACATTATTGTCTGAAGAAATAAAACTTTTTCGATGAATAATGTATTTTTACAATTTTTTCACTTTTTAAAAATTTTAATTATAATAATACTTCAAAAATCATTTAAAATTCTTCATTGCTTTTAAAAATGCACCTGGATGATATCATTAAGTGAAAAGTAAATTTATGAATTGAAATTTGAAAAGCTCATAACAGCCATTTGAACCCGAATATTTAAAAAATAATTTTAGTGAAAAAAAATGTTCCTAATTTCTACCTATGGGAATCTATACATGACATAATCCTTTAAAAGGTTGCGTGATTTAAGTGCTGTCTGATACACTGCAATCACTTCACTTTTAATTCAGTTCTGTTTCATCAGTAACATCTTTGCAAATCATCCCTTCAAAATATAAAAAAAAGTTTTACTTTTCTTAATTGCTATTTAGCTAAATACTTTTATTTTATGTATTTATTTTAGTTTGGATCATACTTCAATTTATTAATTTTTTGTTTTAGGTAGTAGAAACTAAATGCAAATTTCATAAAGCTTTTTAAAAACTTAACTAAAAGTAAATAAAATATTAAATAATTGCTGAAAATGTTAATTTGTAAAAATTACTAGGTAGTTAAAAACTAAAAAATACAAAAACTGCATTCACTTAGTTTTGTCATTTCTAGTCAAACATAAGAGCTGTCATCACCTTAAGTTGCTTCTAGATAAATCAATAAAGATCAAAAAAAGACAAACATGTCATTAAGAAATGCTTGTATATTGTTTTTTTTTTTTTTTTTTATGCTATAAGTAATATTTATTTCAAATCAGATTAATTTAACTTCAAATTTTCTAATTTTAATCAAATAATGGGTCACAAATCTATAATTTAATTTTTAAAGAATTTAAAACCCGATAAATGTGTTTTACAAATTTCTTAAAAATTAAGAAAATAGCCAATTTTAAGAAAACTTAAAAAATCAAGCAATTATTTGACATTCCAATTTATATAATTTCTATCTGAAATACACCGGAATGTTTTATTTACTTGAAATAATAAATTTAATCCTTTAGCTTTCAATTAAAACTAGAATTAAATTTTCAAGAATGCTTTTTCATTTATAAATTTAATTTTAAAACTTAGGTATTGAAAATTCAGTGGAGGTGCCTACTCTATATGAGATGCTGCTGAAACATTTCTTCATCCAACCAATCTGAAATCATCTAATATATATATATATATATATATATATATATATATTCTGATATTTGGTAATTTAATTAGATTTAAAAAATTTTCTGCACCCCAATTGCAATCATTGATCTCTGCTTGGTAATTATATTACTGGATTTTAATTTTTCTATTTGTTTCCTCAGTCTAGATCTCTCTTCAATATGCAATTAAACTCCAAAATAACCCAACCCATGGAAAAGTATTTAATAATCAAAATTCCCACTTGTATACAAGCAAACCATTTACAATTCCAATTTTTGGCCTCCATAATAAAAGAAGTCATAGCACAAATAAATCAAAACCCTGACAATATAGCACTATGCAAATTCTCAAATATTCCAACCTGTATGACCACTGAACCTGAAATAGATCTCACATTGAGAGAATTGAAAAACAATTTAACATTTAAGTGAAAGTGAATACCAAAATAAATTTGGAGAATCAAGGGACAAAAACCATTGCTGTAGAGCTGTTTATACAGATGGATCCAAAGTTTAAAAATGAGAGCTGCTGCCATGGATGGTTGTAACAAAAGACAGCCTGATGATACTTCCAATTTTACAACAGAACTGAAACTCCTTAGGATGGCCTTTGATCTTATGAAGGATCTTGGTAGAGCAGAAGTTTGTGATATTTATGGATTCCCTATCCTCTTTAGTTGCCCCAAAAGAAAAAAAAAAAAACAACTTACAACTCTTACATTGGAGAGATGCTGGAGATTTATAACAACCTGGTGAAATTACAAAAATCCATTGTTTTACTATGGATACCAGTCCATGTCAGCATGAAGAGTAATGAAAAAGTAGATAAACTAACAAAAAAAATATCATGTAACATGGAAATAAGTAATATAACAATTCCATATATAGATTTTACAAAGAAAATTAATGACTATAAAAATCAAATGGCAAGCGATATGGGAGACATATTCCCAGAAAATAAATTTTATGAACACCAAACAAGTGTCAGACAGGAAAACACAAAACTACTAAAAGGGTGAAGAGTGTGTAACTGTTAACTAGAATTTATATTGGACATACGAGACTAACTCATGTACAACTCATATGACTAACTAAGAGCTGAAGATGTACCTCCATACACTCATTACAATTATAGATTGACTGTTTAAATACATTCTGATGTCATAAATATAAAAACATTGATAAAGTTGTTGCCCCTGGCCAAATAATAGTGTTTCTAAAAGAAGTAGGAATTTTTAAATTGCTTTAAAAATTGTTTATGTATGGGTATATAAGATGGACTGGTTTAAATGGTTCAAATTAACAGATTAAATAATCTATTTAAAATGAACTGTAGCTACCAAACTGAACCCCTCCAACTATTGGAAAGAAGAAAAGTTTTTATATATTCACCTGGTTGGTGTAAAATGACCTATCAGGGTTAACATTGTGTTAAACAAAACCAACCAACATAAGTCTAGAAAGGGAGACAGTGAAGGAAGTTTTAAAATGATTTACATATGGCTTGTTTACTCACTAAAGTCATTAAAACTGATTCCTGGCTTATTTTGATTGCTAACCTAATTTGTGTATGTGTGTGTGTGAAATCAATTTTAATAATCTCAAAATTGATACATTTGCTTTATAAAATGATCCCAAACTATTTTAATTCTATTTGGAAAAAAAAGCTGGCTAAAACTCTTACTTTGTTCTGTAGCCTTCTCAGCTGGTGGTTATTTTATGCTTGTCCACCTCATTGGAATGCAGACAAGAATATATCCTATCAAATCTTGAACATTATAAAATATTTATGAAAAGCACTGTTATTTACTTTATTATGGAATCCTTATTGACTTAAAATGTACAATATCTATGTCAGCTGGCTGAAAAATTCTAAAAATTCTATATTTATTAACTTTTATTTTTTTCTCTCTTTTTTTTTTTTTCAGTTTGTCAAGTGTGGCTATGCTGGTTCTAACTTTCCTTCCCATATTTTCCCATCACTGGTTGGCCGTCCTATCATTAGGGCAACTACTAAAGTGGGAAACATTGAAGTCAAAGTAAGTGTAATTTGTTTACTTTGTTACCTCCCCTCACCAAGAATGTTAGATTGAGAATAGTTCCACTTATGTTTGCAATAAAAATATCCTTTTCTTTATTTGAACTCTTTTTACATTCCTGTTATGCTGGATAATAATATGCTTATAATGCACTGACTAAAATGTCTTGAAAAAATATTTTTAGTATTACTTTCTCTTTCAGGAGTCATCTTGTTTTAAATAGTTGGGAGAAATTATTTTTATCTGTATATTTTGAGCCCCCTCCCCCAATTTTAACTTCCAGAACTTCAGATTCTGTTTAATGATATTGTTCTGTGCATGTTGCATAATGAATAAAATTTTAGTTAACTCAGTCAATTTTTTTATATAAAGAAACAATTGTATAAAAATCTGTTAATTTGTATTTAGTCTTAAATCTATCAATTTTAAAATCCTTGATGCAAATTTCAACAGAATTAAGTTAAATGTTTTTCTCTTATGAAAAAAGGTTCTATATTTTTCAATGCTAGAAAATTTTTAACCTAAAGATGGTATAGGGGTTAAAACTTAAGCATTTTAACACTTTTAACAAAGTGAATTTCAATAAAATTTGAAATTGAACTTAACTATAAGCCAAAACTTGCTGTAGTTTTAAGATGTCATATAGTGTATATTTCCTGTATTTGACAGATTGAACTGTGGATTGAGTCATTTAGTAAGTAATTTATTTTTAAATAACAAGCAACCCTAATAAGAGGGAGTAAAACTATTAATAATGATAAACATTGATTAATTTGTTTGAATATTTAATACAAATTTTTTTTTTTTTTTTTTTTTTTTTTTTCTTCTAATATGCAACCTTTTCTTATTGACATTTTTTTTAATTACATCAGTTTCTTTTCTTCCTGTATACTTCAAGGGAAAACATTTTCAAATAAATTAACTTTATTAGTTGTCATTATGCTATATCTGTTGCTTCAACAGTAACCAGTGTTTAAATAAATCAACTATATGTATACTCTTCTATAAATAGGATCCAGTAGTAACTAATTTATTAACAAAATTGTTAATGATTACGCTTTTTCTTTTCTATTTCTTTTTTAGTGTTCATTTTTATTGTAATTTAATTCCTTGGTAGTTACGTTGAATAAAGTTTTTCAGACAGTTATTTTTGAAATGGCATAAAAGTGGCACCATTTTAAATTTAATACTTATTCTGAAACAGTATGATGGAATTATTTAAAATTCATTATGTAAAGTAGATTTGAATTGAAAACATAAAAATGTAGATGTGCAAGTTTTTGTTGATCCTAATATAATCAATTTTTTTCATTGTTACACAGTTAATGCTAAAAGACAAACATTTGTCTTTTTTATATAAAAGTAAAAAATTTTAAAACATGATCCCTCTTCCTTCAGAACTGGTGAATAATTTTTTTATGAACTTTATATTCAAATGGCTTACATTGGCAAGCCCCCCACCAAATAAAACTGGTGTAAAGACTGACCATTTTCAGTTTGCTTAGGCTCAAAGCAAGCAGAAAATGGTCATAACATAATCTTCCTATTTTATTGGTATTATTCTGTGTTTTTGTGCTTCCCAACAACCCTGTAATTCTAAGTCAAAGCAAAGCCAAACATTTAAAATATTTTTGTTTTTCTTCTGTATATATTTTCTGTAGGACTTGATGGTGGGAGAAGAAGCCAGTGCTCTTCGCTCGATGTTGGAGGTAAAATATCCAATGGAGAATGGTATTGTACGTAATTGGGAAGACATGCTACATGTGTATGATTATACATTTGGCCGTGACAAAATGAACATTGACCCCCACAACAGCAAAATTTTGCTTACAGAACCACCCATGAATCCAATGAAAAATAGAGAGAAGATGGTGGAAGTGAGTTGAGCATTTTTTATTTTTGCATTCATTTTTCTTAATTTCAAAATATTAAAAAAACATGCTAGTGTTGCTGAGCATTTTAAAATGACTGAGCCAATCTTGATATTTTTCAAGATGACTTTAAATAAGTTTAAATAGAGCTATCTTAATTTCATTTTGCATATTAGATTCTTCTTGGGACAATTGCTGGATATTTATACATGATTATCAATATTCGCAAAGAAATACAAATTTTTTACTTTTCTATATGTGAATATCTACAAATATATTTAGAGATTATGATTTTACTAAAATCAATTTCTGTCATATAGAAAGAAAACAAGTAACTCCCGACACTGAGGTTCAAGTGTGACATTCTGGACTTATGAATATGTTTTCCACCAGGTGTATAAATAGCAGTGTCAGGCTACTGACTGCAGTGATTAGAGTGGAACTATCCTGTCAAATTAGTGTGAATTGTGTGTCGATGATTTGGGTTTTGACATAGGATTTACTGGATGTTAAGTCAAGCCACGTTACTAACAAGCTATTCACTGAAATGGTTAATTATCTTTGGTTGACTTTTACTTTTTTGGACTTGTTAAGTATTTATTTACTGTTGTAATTAAATACAGTTTGATTTTGACATTGAAGTCTTGTGTTATATTTAATTAACAGCTACTGTACATCACAAAAATTTTCAGTGCTATATCTGAAAATATTTATTCAATTAGGTTGTAAATAATAGTTTCAATTATCTTTCTGATTGACTTTCTATTGCTGTTATGATTTCAACTGTACCAGTAGAACAAATTGACCACTTGTTCCTCTATCAACTTATCTGTTTTAATTTGTTGTCATTAATGTTTTCCAGCTTACCATTCAAAAGTAAATAGTTTTACTATTGTGTGCAGCATTTACTAATATGTAAGTGTTATGACTATCAACAAATTCGTTATATAAAGTCAAAATTTTCTTTGTAATGTTTGCATGTTTGGTATAGCTTTGATAAATTGGAAATTTATTTTATTTTATTTTTTTTTTTTTTTTTTTTTTTTTAAACTAAAGTCTGATTCAATTGCACTTGACTGCCTAATAGATATTGTTTATCTAATGCTGTTTCTTCTATTTTCAGGTGATGTTTGAAAAATACCAATTCCATGGTGTATACATTGCTATTCAAGCTGTTTTAACGTTATATGCACAAGGTATATAGATTAGACATTTGATATTATTTTGTTCATTTTTTTTTTTTTTTTAATATACTATCAAGTGACATGTTTACCTAATTTTACCATAAATTCTGGTGAAAAATGTAAGATAATGCTGTTAAGAGATCAGACATTAAGTTGTAACAATGAAATGCAAATACTTCACATTCAGTTTTTGTGATATTAACATACAAGTATGTTTTTGTGAGTTAGATATAAAATTATCAATGATCAAGATGTGTAAAATACTGTAATGAAAGATAGTCATTAAGTGTAGCCTTTTTAAAAGGTTTTATTAACTATGAATTATCTATAAATGGTACAGGTATTTTAAAAAAAAATCTTCCTTTTTTTTATTAGTAGTAATGTACATTAAATCTTGATTCAAATTTATATTTGATGAAAATGTTTAACATGTTTTGGCAAACTGAAGGCTTTCCAGTTAAGTAAAAATTCAATAGACAACTTTTTATGTCAGAAAAAAATTGTATTTATGTTAAATAATGTAATTTCAAAATGATTTCCCTAAACTATGAGAAGCTCATATTTCACAATTTTCAAAATTTTTTTCTAAATCCTAACTTCAAATAATTCCTTACAAACCTACTTGTAAGGAATTATTTGAAGTTAGGATTTAGAAAAAAATCTCAAACTAAAATTTTATTTTCAATATATCTACAAACTAATACAGGCATAGAGAGCTTAACAAGGTCAAATAATGGTACCAAATTTATCTTGGTAGCTCAATTAGCAACAAAGTTATGACTGTTCAAAGTTTGTTAGTTATCTGTCTTGTGCTTAATTGAACCAGAAGGCAATTTCAACAGTGTATAACTGAAGATGCCAGCTTCAGACTAATTAAAAATCATTATAAATATAATGTCATATAGGTAGGGTTAAAGTAAAGGAAATATAATGCTGATGGAATCAATAATTATTAGATCAGACCTGCCTAAATATTGACAAAATGTGCTTTTCTCCTTAATATAAATACCTTGTATCTAATTTTAGAAAATTGTGAAATTGCAATTTTTAACTTGTCAAACACAAATATAAATGAAATGAATGACCACTAAAAGGAAAACTGGACACTTAAGTTTATTTTAATTTTTTTTTTTCCAAACACTAGTGCAAAATTTGAAGAACTAAGAATGTATCCAGTTTATATATTTTATTTTTATTTTATCCTATAAATTCTGTCTACACTTTTTTTGTTAAGAAAATGCATAAAAACAGCCAAAATGAAAGTGATTTTAAAGTACAATTTTAAAATGCATGATTAAAGAAAATATACAAATATATTAAAATGCATAATATCCATCAAAAATTTGCTTTAAATGGAGTTCACCTAGTTCATTCACTCAGCAATACAAATTTTGATGCATTGGACCCAATGGTTTTGCATAAAGAGTACAGTATACCCTCTTTAATTTGCATGTACCTTGAGAGGTGCAGAGATATGAAACTGATTATTAAAGATGCTCTATAAGGTGTAGTTTTGATTTTGTTTTTTAGTGTTGAATTTTTATGGCATTTTATTCACTAAAGTTTGTGTGACAGACAACTTCAAGTTCACCAAATTAACAAGTGCCCTTTTATCTTTTTTTTTTTTTTTTTAATCTCTCCTTTAAAATGGGACTATTTTGATATTTTGTTGGGAGGCACAAATTTTAAAAAAAGCCACTATGAAATTGTCAGCTTTTAAAATGCCATAAAACAAGCAGCTGTCATTTAAATTTTCACCTAAATTAAAGAAACGGGTAATAAAAAAAATGAATCATTACATCTTTATAAAGAGAAAACATTAAATTTTTTACAATTTTAACAAAATATCTTTGAGAATCAACGAGATATCAGCAGTTGATATTGAAGAAAATTTCACTATTTTGACTTGTTTTCACACTGTAAATTAGGGCAGTTTTGAATATCTATTACAAGACAACACATTCTTTATGATGACCTCAATAGTGAAATCTCAGGTGACCCACATTTGTCTTAACCTATTTGACTCTCCTCATTATAATAATCATACTAATTATTAACAGCACCAACAATAAAGGGTGCCTGATTCTTGTTTTTAACATTGCAAAACCTTAATTATATATTTACTTTAATCCAACACCCCCACTTTTTTTTTTCCTTTTATGAATACCTATATTCAGAAATGAACTCTTCAAATAATTGTATATGGGTTAAATTCATTGTAGCATGTGTAGATTCATTACAGAATTACAAAAGAAATAGAAAAGAAGTCTTTAACTTATTTTATTATTTTTGCTTAACTTTTATTGCCAAGCTTATCACTTTTTTCACTAAAAATGTATTTATATTTTGGGAAAAAAAGTTCTATTATGAAGTTTTTGGAATAGGGATCATGGAAAAGATTTGAATTTTGATAGATTTTCTAAAAACAAAAAAAATTTTTAAAATGTAAATCTAAACAGATTTGAAAAACATGTTATAGCTTATCACTCAGTTAACCACACTTTCAAAAAAATAAAAATTTGTGCATTTCTCTAATAAAGTAATGATTGTTTTAATATTTCTATATGAATTAGAAGTGAATCAATTTATAAACATAGTCAATTGTAAACTGTCCTCATTACATTTTCCTATTCTTTCTTTATTCTAGTCCTATAAGAAGCTAATACATTATAGCTGTATTGTACGTAATTACTATATTATATAGCTAAGACTTCAACTTAATCTATTAATATAATTAATTTGTTTTTTTAGTCATGAATATGAAAAATGGGGGAGTTATAGTGAACATACTTTGAATTGTGATAAAAGTGACTTCTGAAGTTTTTTGTTGGAAACTTCTCATTGAACAATGCTCCACTCAAATAGATCAGTTGATATTGCTTGAATAATTAACATAACACTGGAGGTAGACAATGTTTAAAATATCAATATCAAGCATGGAAAGTAACTTGCATCAGTTTGCTTATCACATGTGGTTTAAATGCAGGTGAAAAGAATTACTGGATTGTATTTCTGTGTACAATTTGCTACTTAATCATAATGGAAATATTTTGTTATATATGTACCTAAATTATAAAAAGGATATGAAAGAATGCAAGAGCTTATGAAAAAAGAAATTAACTATTAACTGTACTGTATTAACTATATAAATGATTGGGTGAAATACTTGTTCAAATCGATCGGAATAATTAAAAGCAGCAATCAACAAAATTTTTATGTCGGGATTATTTAAGAAAAAGGCATAGTATTCTCTTGGGACAATGCAAGACTTTCTTTTGTGACAATACATAATTTAGCTTCGCTGGGAAATTTTTGTTTTTACACGTGTTCTATTTACCAGATATTGCATCTTTAGATTACCATTTATTCTGGTCTGTAGAAAATTCTCTTAAAACATTTTAATATCCTAGGAGACTGCAAAAGTGATTCAGAAAAATTATTTGCTGAGAATAATGAAAATTTGTAGGACAAAATTATGAAGTGAAGTTGCATGAATGATGGCAGAAGACAGTAGAAAAAATAGTAAATAATATTTTGAAAAATTATTTTTTTAATAAACCAAGAATTTTTTGCTCAGTAGATAAACAATATTGCCACGCACACACACAAGAAGAAATAAAAGTAAAGCTATGAGTTTCACCCTTGAACTGATGGATCGTCAGACCAGGTTCATTCTGTCTTGCATAGGTCATGGTACTGGCCTGAATTATGTAGTTTTTCGATATTTATGGCCAACACCACGTGCTATGCATGATTAAACCTGGCCTATATCTTTGTTACATTTTATAGGCTCTATTTTTATTGACCATTTTTTATTACCAGCTTCATTACAGTTGGATCTTGCTAACAACGCTGTAAATAGCCAAAAAATGCATTTGGACCCATAATTATTCCCAATCAAATAGCCTCTAGAATAATTTGAAGCACAACCATTAATGTCCACCAAAACAGCCATTAAAATAACACAATAAACTACCCACAATGCATCACTGACCTGTATATATAAATAGTTGAGCAAAAGCACAATGCAGATGGCCTGATACTGCACTTAACATGAAACACTGTCACTTCTGGGTGTTGATTTCAATGTCCACTTTTATATTTATATATGGTCTATCCCTGATGTTGAGCACTTTAACCATAAATATAGCATGCCTTAAAACTATTTTTATTGTGTGTATATTTTCAAGATCAATTTTTTAAATTCATTAAGGCGAGGTACTTTGTAAATCATTCTTGAGTTTCCTCCCTTGTTTTGAGGAACCTCTATATTTTACTTGATGGAGAATTTGATCAAAAACATTTTAACATAAAGTTTTATTAACGTCAGTTTTACTCTCCTTGGATAATTCCATCTGTTATTTGATGTTGACTATTGATTAACATAAAAAAAAAAACAATTTCACTAGAATGAAAAAACACTGTACAACAATTCATTTCACTCAAGTTAGAACTTGATCTGAAAACTTTTTACTTGCTACTTTACAATTCTGTCTATGGTCTAAGGATTATGTGGATGAGGGATGACTGAAATATAGGGTTATTCTCAAATTTTTCTTAAAATACTAAAATTTTATACATATATATAATAAAGATATCCCTTTTATTTGAATTCTATTCGAAAATTCGTCCATTACATAATCTTATAAGAACATTCATGCAGATATAAAAATCTGAAATTCAAGTTCAGGTGACAAATGTTTATTAATGTCTACTTCTATCATTTCAAAAGATAGAATATAATTTATTTATTTTTTTTTTTTTTTCTTCAAATCTTTGTTTTATTTGTACAGGTTTGCAAACTGGTGTTGTTGTTGATTCCGGTGATGGTGTCACTCACATCTGTCCTGTGTTTGAAGGGTTCTCACTTCCTCATCTCACACGACGTTTGGACATTGCTGGCAGAGATATCACTAAGTATCTCATCAAAGTAAGACTTATCATTAATTGACCCTTACCTTGATTATTGTTAAGGTAATTGAAAGAGTAAAGTAATATACATAAACCAATTATAAATCTCGTATTTGCTGAACAAAGTCTACAGAGCTTGACACAAATTCAAAACCTTGAGTCTGCAACTAGAATTCAAATTCTAGTCACACAACTGATAAGACTTTGTAAAAAGCACAAATCCAAGTTTCCAAAACTTCTTATTTGTAGTCTTAATTATGGTTTTGTTACTAGAATGTAACTATAGGCAATGGGAAAGAGAGAATACTAATGAGTTTTCTGTATTTTTTTTTTTTTTTTTTAATCATTTGATGTCTCACAAGTTGTAAGGTAAAAAAATAAAATGATTTTTATGTCTTTTGAGCCCAGTCATAAATTCGTGCTCTAAACATCAATCAATCCCTTTAATTCCACTAATAAAAAAAAAAGCATAATGGAGAGAGAAAAAGATAAAAATGTACATCTGAAAAGACTGAGATGTTAGACTTTTTTCTTTTTTCTCAATTTCTTAAGATTAGAGACTCGTCTGAATTATTTTTGAATGTGCCACAAATTACACTAGTGTACACGTTTCAGTATACTTTGAAGGTCAACCTTAGAAAATATTTTCAGCTCTGAAAAACAGTCCATGGACTATAATCGTGTATGTGTGTGCATGCATGTGTGTATAAGTTTGCAGTGGTTTTTAAAAAGAAAAAAATTGTTATTCTGGGTTTCCAGTCTCTAGTTTTAACAAGGAGTTTTCTGGAGCTTTTTCACTTGCCTAGTAAATAAATAAAATATATATGTAAAATCATTTTTTCCAGCTTTTACTATTGAGAGGATATGCCTTTAATCATTCGGCTGACTTTGAAACTGTACGCATCATGAAAGAGAAACTGTGTTATGTGGCCTATGATGTGGAGCAGGAACAAAGATTGGCCCTTGAGACAACTGTACTTGTGGAGTCATACACAGTAAGTGGAAAAAACTTACTTTCTTTACTTGGTGAATGATGGTAGTGTAATTTCTTATGTGAAATCATCTGCAACCAATTGTTTTGTATTTACTGCAAATTCATCAATTATATGTATATTTGTCAAGGCTCACCATTTATTTTGTCTATATTATACAATGCCACTAAGTGGTGAGAACACACTTTGAAGTAGTCGATATTTGATTAACAAATAACTATAGGTCATTTTGTTTGTATTTCAGTAATTATCTGCATCATCCTCTGAACTAAATGTTCCAAGTATGATGAGTATCATTGAACTCTATTTCAATAGTTAATCAAATATTGATTATTTATAAACATAGTTTGTCAGAAATACTAATAAGTATATAGTAAAATTAAGTTTTTGCTGTTTTATAGATATTTTCCTATTAAGAAATTTTTTATATGAAGTGGTAATAAAACTAATGTGCATTGAACCAATTTCTCAAAATGGCTATAAATTGAAATGGGACATATAAGACTGGATCAGTCTGTAGCACAAGTTAGTACAGGGTGCAGCAGAAATACATCCCACATAATAAAACAAGTGTGTCTTCATCTAACTAATGTCATATGTGGGAGGTTATAGCGAAGAAAATGGCGACTTACTTCGTCAAACCAAGCGACAGCGCATCGCGTGTATCCTACGACAGAAAATGTGGCGACAAAGAAAATTACTTACCAAAAAAAAGGGGCACATATTCCACATGACATGCTGAAGATAGAACATGCAAATTAAAAACCAGTCCGTCACAGGAGTCACTGTAAAAGTATTTTGATATGCAAAAATTGGGCATCCTCACCCAGTTGTTGATGAATGGAAGAAATGCTTGGCTGATAAAAGCAGTTGGTGTTCTCGAATCGGGGCGGGGCGGGGGCGCTGTTCGGGCATTTTGGCTACTGTATTTGTCGGAGAGTGAGTTATTTTTCTGACTGGTTTTGTGCATTGTGATTTGTGAGATAGTACTTGCAAATTGAGTTTTTGGCATTTCTTTCTGTCCCCAATGTTCATATTTGAACATAGTGATTTATTCTCTGCGTTGTGGAAGTAATCTGTGACAAATATTTCCTTTGCAATCCCAGAATGCTTACAGTGGTATTTCTGCCACACCCTGTATTTTTATTTTATTTTCATCAAATTATTTACGGTTTAATGTTTGAAGTACCTGATTAATAGTCACCACTGCATTAACTGCATTATTCTTTCACACTCAATAGCCCCTTGCATCATAGTAGATTCATTGCCCTGCATGGGATGAAATGATTAAAAAAAAAAAATTTATAAAAATGTCTGGATTATAAGAATATGAAAATTTAGATAGTTTTGTAGACAGTTTGACAAATTACCTAATAACTACCAAATTGGCTTGAAATACTAGTACCCAATGAGATGGGCTACAAGATCAACTTGCTAATTGTTAAGCTAAATGAACATTCAGCCTTGTTTGTTTGAATTATAAGTTCTATTTACTTCACTTATGGAAATAGTTGCAAGCTGCTTAAAATATCCAATAATAAGTTTTACTAGATCAATTTATCTCTAGTCATTTATATGCAAATAATACATATACCATTTATATAATTTTATTCAATTTCCAGAAAATAACTCTTTATTTTTCTTCTGTCTAGCTTCCTGACGGCCGGATAATAAAAGTTGGTGGTGAAAGATTTGAAGCACCTGAGGCATTGTTCCAACCACATCTCATCAATATTGAGGGTGTTGGAGTGGCAGAGCTTTTATTCAATACAATTCAGGCAGCCGATATTGATACTCGATCAGAATTTTACAAACACATTGTCTTGTCCGGAGGTTCTACGATGTATCCAGGCCTTCCTAGTCGCTTGGAAAGGGAACTAAAACAGCTCTATCTGGAGAGAGTACTGAAGGGAGATACATCGAAACTTTCGGTGAGTTTCACTGAAATCTTAACATTTCTAAATTTCATATTCTGTGCAGTTACATGAAGGTACTTTAACTTTCCTGTTCTTAAGATTCAACAAAAGACAGTCATATTTGTCTTGTATGCTATGGCAAAATCAGATATTATATGGCCTCCTAGCAACTTGAATAAACATTTAGCATAAAAACCTTTCTGACCACAAAATGGGAGTCAAAATGTGTGAAAGAAAACAACAAATTAAAATATAATTTATGCGAGTTCCTTCCTATTGATTTAGTATTTCTTTTTTCATAAATTAAAATAAGTAGTAGTAAAGAAAATAAGATAATCAGAATGTGCCACTTCAAAACTTAGCAATTTATAATATAACATATGGTTGCTGACTAAACTGCCACTTCTTGTGAGAGAGGTTGGTTGTTAGCAACTCTGTAAGATCAAAAATAAAACCTATTAAAGGGCAAAAGAACTCTTGGCAAGTCAACAGCCAACTAACTAGAGTTGGTGTCTCAATAAAATAACTGGTGAAGGTAATGGGAAATCACTCCACTATCAATCCCTCAAAAATTCATAGCTCTAAACAATGTTATTAAAGATAAGAGGGTTAAGTCTATTGGAATTAACTCCTCACCTGGTAAATAGGAACATATGGAACAGGCTAAACATCTTCCAGCAACTGTTAGCAAAACTATAAAAAGCAATGGCAGGTGTCAGGCTTCTTGGAATTGATCCCTCACCTGGTATGGTTTTGGTGCAAACGGTCACTGAATGACAGTCCAATGACACCTGACACTCCTGTCATTCAGTGACCGTTTGCAAAAAAAAAAAAAAAAAAATTTTTTTTTTTTTTTTTTTTTTTTTTTTTTTTAGGACATAGAATGTTAGAACTGCGGTAAAAGAGAAAGTCCCTTTCCAAGAAAAAGGGCACATGTGTTTTGTACAATATGCTGAAGACAAAATAAGCAAAATTGTAGGTGTTGCCATAGATGCATCTCTGATATGCTAATATTGTGTGTCTCTCTCACCTGTTGACCAATGAAAAAATTGTTCTGTCAATGAAACTGGTTGGTGTTCTCAAATTGAAAAGTCATTTGTTTTACTACCACATCTTTTGGTTTGCATATTGGATTTCTGACCGTTTACATGTTTTGGGATTTGTGACATTGGACTTGCGATTTCAACATTTCTTTCTGCCCCTGGGTCTTTGAGTTTGTGGAATTGAGCTGCCATGTCAATTTCTGAACTTGAACACACAGTGAATGGACAGTTAGAAAATATAAAGCAGGAAATGAATAATATTTTAAGTGTATGAAAAACCAGATGCAAAAAAAATAAAAATAAATGGAGATTTTGTTAGTGACAAATTGTTAGTGTTTGATATTAGACCAGAACATGAATAACTGTATCCACTGATAGAATTCTTGCTAAATTGAAAGGAAAGCCTTTTAGTATAACTATTATAGTTGTATATGCACTGACAATACAAACTATAGAAGAAATTAAAAAGGTTTACTGTAAGTTACATAGCACCAAGATTCAATGCAAATTGCAAGAAATTACAATCATTATGGGAGACAAGAATGTCAAAGTAGGCAATTAGAGAGATGGTGAAATGGTTGGCAAATTTGGTCTAGGAACAGATAATGAACCCTGAGCAAAATGGATCCAATGGTAAATGATCAGGTGGTAGGCAAGACCTGGTTTAACCTTTACCACACCAAATTCCTTTTAGAATTGTTTCCTCTGCCACTGAATTCTTTTTGATGTCACAAAAAACATGAGCACCTATTGTTTTCAAATTGTTATAACTTTATTTGTATTGTGTGGATAGATTTAATTTTTTGTATACTAATAAAGGATGAGCAATATTTTGATGTGATACATTACATTTTGTATGCATGTTTTGACATTGAAAACAAAAAATTAAAGGATAAAATAAAAAAAATACAAAACAAATACATTAATAATTTCACATACTTCAACTTTTATTACTGCTTGTAGAGTTCTGGGGTACAGTCTACCTTGTAGTCCATCAGACTGTGGAACCTCTGGAAGCAGGGGTATGGCCAGAGTGCCATATCACACTTTCTGTGCACAAACTGAGTCTAGTGCACTTCTCACTGTTTGAAGAGTCAACACCTTCCACATGTGCTGAGAGTAGGCCTGCATAACACAAAGCTTGTACACAATCCTGGTATGATTTTCATGATGTTTTGATCTTCTTTTCTGAAGGTCTTGGCAGTGTGGGCAGTTGTCATCAAATTCTGTCATACCAGGAAATATATAAAATGTGTCTGTCTCTGTGCACGATGGAGGGGACTTGTCTGGCTGGGGCTTTGCTGCTTTCATCTCACACGTCGTGTGCCACATGCTCCTGTTCCATGTTGGGTTAGTTGGTGAAACAATGTAGATGATGATAAAAAAATTGTCCATGTAAATTACATGTCCCCTGTTTTGTATATTCTCTGGCAGGGAGGACACAACCTTGTAGGCAGCACCAACTGTCCTTAGTACCTGAGCTATTTTGTGGCCCAAGTATAGCTGCCAATTATAAATGTACCTGGTTTTCGAGTCTGCTAGTCCCCAGCTTTTCAGGCCCCACTTGATTGGTTTTGCTGGCATGTACATTAACAAGCTCATCCTGCCTTTGAAAGGTATCATACTTTCATCCACTGAAAGTTCTTTTCTGGGATAAAAGTTTTTCTGCCAAAGTGACACAAGTTTATCAGAAAATGGCTGGATCTTGTATGCCATGTCATGTTCAGGGTGTTTCCTCGGTTTTGCAGTTGAATTGTCAGAAAGATGAAAAAAAGACAAAATTCTTAAACTGGTCACCTGGCATGATATTTCTAAAACCCGATATTTGAATAAACACATCCGTTGACTAGTATAACTCAAATGTAACAGAATGCACCTAGTGGAGCAAAGGGAGAGAATTCTCTGGCAACAATTTTCACCTCACGCATGATAAAGGTTAAAGAACACCCAAGCCCAGGAGATGAAACAAATAACCAAATCAACTGTATAACTATCAATAAGAGGTTCAAGAATGCAATTTTACACTGCAAAACATACCCAAGTGCTGACTATGCTTATGGCCACATGACATGGAAATACCAGTTACCATACAATCTCTGAAGTTGAGCATCGTCAAGCCTGGTTAATACCTAGATGGGTGACTATTTGAGAATACCAGGTGCTATAAGCTTGGATGTGCTAGTGATGTAATGGCTAATTGTAAAGAATTGTTAATCAGAGAGCCAAGTTTCAATTTCAGTTGGGGTCATTATATTACATACAAATACTCCTGGGAAAGGTATGAATCAACCTCTTCTCCTTGCAGCTATGGACTAATTAGTAAAATGTATCACTAAACCATTATTTCAAAAACAAATCTGCAGAGGTTTATAAGCTGTAGAAAACGAATGGATCAATCAACCAAGTGCTGACTGCAGAAACAACCACCTTCCAGTGATATGTAAATTTGGAGTGAAACTATAGAAAATGGAGAGCCAAGACAGCACACAAAATTGCAATATGACACTCCTAAATTACCCAAATATGAAGGAGGAATATATGGACAGTGTTAAAAGCAGATACAATGAACAAAATGAGAATGGTCATTCAAAGTGGGACACAGTAAAACTTTAGTAACATCAATAATTGAATTAAGCATCAATTGTAAGAAGACAATGTATGGTTGTCAGTAAAAGAAACAGCCCAACATACAAATTACAACTTGGAGATACCAAAATCAAACAAGTGCAACTATTTAAATATCTGGAAAGTGTTTTAATGGAGGATGGAATGTGCAGCACAGTATATTGAAAGATACCTTCCAAAGCTAAGCAAAGTATTAAGAAACAGGAAAATTTTGTTAGAAACAAAGAAAAAAAAAATACTTAACTGTTATGTAATATCTGTCCTCCTATATGGCAATGAATGCTGGGCAATTGCCTCACAGATGAAGAAAAGACTTGAAGTTACAGAAATGTGGTTCTACAGAAAGATGCTGAGAATACCAAGGGCTGAACATGTGAGCAATGATGAAATTTTAATGGAAATCGGAAAGAGACTGCTGAAATTTCTAGGGCACATAATGAGGAAAGAGGGCTTTGATACTCACCGGACATATTGAAGGCAAGAGGGACTAAGGAAAGCAGCACATAACCTACCTAATGAGCTTAATTGGATGGCAGAACAAGGCTTAGGAGAGATAGCAAAAAGACAAAATTTACTAAGAGCTATGAAGGACAGGAAATTGTGGTGAGCCGATATCGTCAACTTCCTAAAGAGACACAGCACATAAATTATTATGAAATTGTCTCTTGGCATACTCAGTTGATAAAATCTAGGTAAGTGATCAAGTCTATTTCACAGTAGATTAGTATGCCATAGTGTACATCAAACATTCACCTTCCAAAGGACAATTTTCTTTACTTTACACTTATGAGGTAGACTAAAATTATAATAAGCATCACAGTTTCAAAAACTTATTGTATTTTTTCACCAACTGAAGCATATTATCCATATAAAAATAACTGACTTTCAGAACGTTCCTGTTAAAAAAGAATCTTATGAAGCTTGCAACATTTAGAGATGGGCTTCTCATTCAAATAGTTAAGTAACTTCCCTACTTTTTGTCTTGTTGAATGGAGGATTAAACCAAATTGTTTTGTTCTTTGTGAGACTTCACACTTTTCCAGTCTTGATTGACAATCAAATCAGATGGGTAACTTTTTTTTTTTTTTTTTTTTTTTTTTTTTTATATTAAATATTGAACTTGATCAGAGGTCCTTGGAATTATAGTTTTGACACCCTTCTAAGTGTGGTTAGACAAAGTGTTTACATAAATTGAGTTGTCAGATTTCTGAATGACTGCTGTACTGCATATATAACATGGATTGCCCGGCTTAGTCCTGGGTTCTTCCCACACTGGTCAGCACTGCAGCCAATCAACTGATGGTTATGTGCTTGCTACTTTATTCCTTCATCTGTCTCTACCCCACATTGTGGTCCTTGATCACAGAGCAGTGAAGATCAAATTTCATCCATACTTAAGTGCTGGATCAAACCATGGCAAAACCATGCTACAAAAAAACAGAGTTTCCACTGGTGAAAATAAAAATGACATAGTGAAGGGCACTGGGTTAATTTTCAATTGGTTTATATAGTTTTTGATGCAACAAAATTAACCCTTCTCATTAAAAACACTTTTTCTTCTAAACTTGGAGCAGGCTAAAAAAAAACACCAGGTTGTAAATTCTTTTAGCAGCAGATCATGCAGTTCCTTCTGGTTTCTGATGCCCTCTGCTGGCTTCCAGTTTTTGAGTCACCTAAGTGCCAATTTACATGTATTTCACCTGACTACTACCACACCTCAAGATTCATTATCTTTCCAATTTCAGAGAACTGATACTGACTTTTCAGACAAAATTGTTCACAGTCACTTATTCTAAACAATAAATTCTTTGATAACAAACTTTGTGTTTATAAATTCTATGACTTTGATGTCAAAAAATTTCTTTTGTTGTCAACTTTTCAATATGACCAATTCAAAATCTTTGCCCATTTTGCATGTTCACAAAACCATATTTCAAATTGTTTCCATTCATAATAATTCCATTTGTTTTTCAGCTAACAAGCAACCACATTTTACATTTCTCAAATCATGCTTTGGACCCAACATTCCATTCTATGTTTCTGTTTATCAGAAAGGGAAAACCCAATCCCCACCCCCATTCCATATTTCAAGTCATGTTTTCACTTTAATGTTTTTAACCCTTCCAATTCTCTAAATCTTATATAGGATTTTCACATGAATGATTTTAATCCTTCTCATACTACCAGTGTCATAATAGCTTTTCTGTGACACCCACTGGTGGTTGCAGCGCCAATATGTGACATCCTCTGGTCATGACGCCAATATGTGACACCGCGCTGTCGGCCCGTGGTCAACTCCCAGTTGCGGCACAAAGCTGTAAGGTTTTTTCCACCAGCGTTTTGGGGTTGACTCTTTTTCGCTGCCACCAGCCTGTGTCCTGGTCGATCTGGTCATTCCCGGTTCGATACCAGCTTTGTCGTCCCCAGCTCACTTCCATGTCTGGTTACCGAAGTATTTACTTTGATCTCAAGTCTAACCTATCCACGTTGTGACTTTGATCTTAGGTAGACAAAATCAATCAAGCGTCAAGCCATAATGCAAGCTGAATCCGGGGTAAAGGTGATATCGCACAAGTGTAAGTAAAAGGAGCAATAAAACAAACTCGAAGTTCAAATGTGTTGAGAAATAACAAATTATTTTTATCCATCTGTTATATACAGTAGTGTGTTTCTCTCCCAGCCCATTTCTATGGATTTGTGACACTTTTGCGTTTCTTAAGCAAGTTTTGGTATCTTAAATCATTCGTCAATATAACTTGCTTTTGGTAGGAAGTCGAAAAGGATGTGGAAATCTCTTGGTCAGCTTCTGCGAGGCAATGGTCTGACTGCAACTGTGAATCAACTGCTGGAACTCTACTGCGAAAACTACCCGGGGACGTTTGTTTATATGGGCCATGACCAAAACCCGGTGTGGGGCCTGACATGGCTTGGGTTCCCGATAATTCTCGATTCCCAGCAAGAATACTCTTTGTTCTTAGGCCAGGGAAATTAATGACTTCCTATTTTTGGAAGATTAATCACTTTCTATTTCGGGGGTTTCTCCCTCGTCCATGAGGGAAGGTTGGAGGAGAGTTATCCTCCTAGACTATTCCTCTCTCACATTGGTATCTCATACCAATCCCCTCAGTGGGTGTTAACAACTTCTGTCTTTCTCATACATTCACCTCTGCCTATCACCCATGCTACCACTTGACCAATGGTCTCTTGGCAGTGTGGGTGTGGCTAGACTGGCCCTCTTAAAATTATTATCTAGAGTTTTTTTTTTTTTTTTAACAAACCCCAGATTGCCAAATAATTCTTATCACATCTTTCTTTTGGGGACACCCAAAATTCACTTAGTCTGGTCTCTCTACCAACTCATCAATCACTGTCAAAACCCGACGCCTGGTTTCTCTGCTAAGTTAACTTTTAGCTGGGATGTCCGTATTTTACACGAGTCAAATTCTTTATTTTTCTCATGCCTTAAAATCCACTTATCATCAGATGCCAATTTTCGACGACGCTGTGTCTGACGTCAGCAGTTTGAATAAGCAATAATAATACAATTTTCTTCCTCATGCCAGAATTCTAACACACACCAGATGGTTTCCTTTGTTGGACCCAGGAATTAAAATTAAATGATATCTCTGAAAGATAACTAATATCGATTCTCTCTGCCTGTATCGCAGTGGTCTCAAGCCAAATTTTTTTTATGGCTGCCATGTGTCGTTTGGCTTTGTTTTTTCTTTCTGAATTCTGTTTCCCTTGGCGTGTCACTCCCTTAACATTATTCGATATAGCTCTTTCTTGCCTTAAGTCTTTCCTGTTTTTAATTTCTATGGTTAATTAGTTAGCCAATTACCATAGCTAAATAGTGTCACATTTCATTTACCCTTTCAACTACAACCAGTGACACTTTATGGTGTCACGCATTAGCACTATTAAATGTAATATCCAATAAACCTCACTGCTTTCAAGTTCATTTCAATTTAGATGTTAAATCATGACTCTGAAAAATGTTATAAAATATTTTCAGTGATGTTATAAGTTTTTCTCTCGTTACCCTTACTGTATACAATCAATCTATTGTTTACCAGACCTTGAGAGCAAGGAAATGCCATGTAACTGGCTAACCTCAGCACCATCACGGTGAAATCAAACCAACCTTGTTCACCACGCCACTCTGCACATACACACGCCATCACTTAATTATTATCTGCTTGTCTGATAAGTTGCTGATTGTTTTTCATCTAATTAATGGCTCTATCAAGAATCTCTTTCCATTTGGGGGTGGTAAAAATCCTTAATGTCAAATTGCCAAATATGCATTTATAGTTATTCGTCATATCACGGAACCAGTCATTCACAGTACTGATTCACATGTAAAATATTGCATAGAATCCTACATGTATTTTTCAAGTATCATTTTACTGATCTTTCCTCATTGACTCTTTGTAAGGTTTAACAGTCTTCAAGCTAGTTTTATCAAGAAATTAGCCTTATAATTTCTATCCATATGTTCTTGGCTGGGGAATTTACATGGTTATCAACTTTTAACTTGAAAAAATTTCCCTTGCCACCCCATTAATCACATTTCATTTTGCTGGGCCCCAATCTATAACATTTCATTACTTCCTATATTTTTGTATGTATGCAAGATCATTAAAGCTGACATTTTTATTTTTTTTATTCACAGATGATTACTGTTATCAGCTAGTAGTTGCAATTTTAAAGTTATTTTAGTGTCTATTGATTTTTATATATTGTCCTACACTTGCTAGTATTAAGCAAGCTTTTGATATGAAAACTGTAGCTCAGCAAGTATTGTTGACTATTAATTATTTAGTGTGGCATTGGGGGAGATTGCTACATGTCTCAAACCTTACATGTGCATCTTTGTAAGTGTCAGAAATTTTATAGTTCTATATAAAATTTCAAAGAAATATATTAAGAAAAAAATCTTGCTCTTATTGGCATGACTTGTGGTCACTGATCAAAGTCAATACAAGAATCCATTTAGAAGCATTAAAAACAATTTTCAAGAACTAAGTTAAGAAATAGTTGTATATAAAATTTAAATGAATATCAATTTTTCTTGAGCCTCACTTAGTGAAATATTTCCTAGCTTCAACTTCAGTATGAAGTTATCTATATCGATAAAACAGAATGTGTGTGTATTTGCTATTTATGCATGTCCACATTTCTTGACTGGTTTTGATGAAATTGTATACATGTTGCAAATTTACCAAGGTAGATCAAGACCAACTTTTCAATCTCCAGGCCTCCCTGGGTTTGGCAGAAAAATCTATAAAACTATAGGTGGGTACAATTTTTTTTCTGTGTGTTTATACAATTGCAGCCATGTACACCCAGGCAACAACCGGGTAGCTCATCTAGTTCAACATAAAATTACTAATTTCTTTTAAAGCTTCAGCCATACCATTTAAATTTTTTTTTTCTTAAATTTAATTTTCAATCTTTGTTGATTTTAAAACTTTTCATTCCATTCCTTGAACATTTTTAAGCAAATAATCAAAAGTTAAAATGTTTAAAAAAAAAAAACTAAAAAAACACATCTCTTTTGCCTGTTTTACTTGTGCAATTCAAGTTGGGTTAGTTGTAAGGAAAATAAATTTCATATTTTGAGACAATACTATTTGGGACCAAACAGTAAGATTTTAGTTTCAAGAATTTACAAGTGGAGATTCCCGTTTTAGAAAACTTAAGGAAATTTGTAACAAATTTCAGTGTATCAAATTAAGTTATTGGCAAAAAAGTCCTTAGACTATTTTAGAGACAAGTATTTCTGCAGTTAGGATTAAATTGAAGAAGCCTTCATTTGTCTTTTGAAGAATTCTTTGGTAGCAAATCAATTCTCTTCCAAAAGTGATAGGAATATATAGAGGTTGGAAAAATTTTATTTTATTATATATATATATATATATATATATATATATATATATATATTTTTTTTTTTTTTTTTTTTTTTTTTTTTTTTATTGAAATAATTTTGTAATTTCTTGTTGAACAACCCCATAGAATATATCATTACCACATCCATCTGTATCAGATTAAAGATTAAATGAATAAAATTTTTTTTTTTTTTTTTTTTCTGATTTTGCAGCTGTAGGACTCAAACCCATTTTCTTTCTCTTTCAGAAATTCAAGATTCGCATAGAAGACCCCCCTCGTAGGAAGCATATGGTATTTTTAGGTGGTGCTGTCTTAGCAGATATCATGAAAAATAAAGACTCGTTTTGGATGACAAGAGAAGAATATTCAGAGAAAGGAATAAGGGTTTTGGAAAAAACTTGGTGTGGGTCCAAAGTAGATTTTCTAATATACACATTTGCACTCACATGTAATATATATATATATATATATATATATATATATATATATAAAATGTACACACACACATACACTTTGCATGCTTTAATATGTCTGTCAATGTATGTATGCATTTATAACACTATGGATTTATAAAACACATGTTAGGTATCCCAAACTAAAACTTTATTTTCAGTATATCTAAAAAAAACCTTTAATACTACAAAGAAAGCTTTATATAAAACATAATGAATGGTACCAAATTTATCCTGGTAGATCAATTAGCAACAAAGTTCATCAGTTTTCAGTCTTGGGTACTATTGTGCCAAAAGTGAATTTCAGTAGTATATAATTGAAGATGCCGGCTTCAAACTTTTTTTAAAATCATTATTAATGTAATTTCATATAGGTAGTCTTGAAGTAAAAAAAAAAAAAAAATGAATCAATAATTTTTAGATCAGACCAGCTTAAACTTTAGGGAAAATTGCATTCTCAAAAACAGAAAAGCACTTTTGATTATTCATAAGTTTCATTTCAATAGTTAATGCTTTGCAACTTATGATTCGCAACACAAAAGAGATGAAATTATTTATTTATTTTTTTTTTTCCAGTCATACATCAATAAAAATATTTGTGCCATGTAAAAACAGCATAATTTGACAGTAAGTCAAAAACAGGTCAAATGTATACCATCCTGAGCTTGCCATGAAAAAGTATCTATTGGAGGTACATACCTGAAACTTGAGGATAAGGAAAAACTGTTCTTTTCTCTGTAATAGAAATACCTTTTCTCATATATGTATCAAATTTTGGAAAATTATGCAATTTTTAACAAGAGAGACTAATGACTCCAAAGCTTAGAAATTTGTTAAATGAATCACTGATCATTCCTTTTAACAAACAATTATTGTAAAGCTTAAAACGCGGTTATCTTCAAACTAAAAAAACTAAAATTAATAAAAAGACATTTATTGAAACTAATAGAATAAAAAAAAAAAAAATAAAAAAAAAAAACACTTTATGGACATGGTATTCTGCATTTCCTCTTTAGTGGTGCAGTCTGAATTAGTTTATAAATTGCTACTATATCCAATATTCTGGAACACTCCATATCCTATCATCTCTTGAAAGTGGTATATCTAAAGATAAATGTTGATGCCACTTGTACAATATCATCCAACAAAGTCCATTAGAGATAATTATTTCAATCTTTTCTAAAATTTTCATTACAGTACTGGACAGAGATGTAACATCAATGACTTGGTCAATAGAAAAGCTATAGTAATAGTATTCTGCAATCCATTGGCCTTCGTAAATGAAGGTCATTTGAAGTGGTTCTTCTTCATCACAAATGATTGAATACTCAGATTCACTGAGTGCCTTTTCTTCCTTTGTTCCTTTAAAGGTGTAGATGAAGTTCCATTAAAAGTAATATCAGTGAAATGTGTATTTCTTTCATCACAGTTTTTAACTTTATCTTTATACATTGCAAGGAACCTCAACCTGCTTCTCACACTTAGAAAACTACTTCTCAGGGCATAGAGTTCATCATCCACTGAATGGAAGATTAAATGTAAATTTTATTAATCAGCCAGTTAGGGGTCTCTGGTGTGGAAAGCACTAATACATTGAAGAAAAAAAAATGAACAGATACCCATTTAAAAAATGAAATGATGTTATGCTTATTATTTTCCTAATGTTATTATAACAGGAAGACTTAAAAATACCAAGAAGACAACACTTGTTTGCAAAAGTTCATGAACTATGAAATTTAAATGTCATAATTTCATTTTGCCCTCCAGGCAAGACCTAATCCCTAGAATTAGTAAACAAATAATTATTTAAAAAAAAAAAAATTACCATTACCTTTTGAAAATTACATTTCAAAATGCAGCCAAAATTAAGCTTATTGAGTTCATTTTTTATTTTATTTTAAAATATATCCAGTTTCATTTTTTTCACAGGCAAATGTGATTGAAATTTAAAGAACTAAGAATATATCCAGTTTATATATTTATTTTTCTATTTTACTGTTTGTTAAGAAAATGCATAAAAAATAAGACCTGATGTAAAAGTTATTTGATCATAGTAGCTTGAATAAGTAATTTATGCAGTTTTTAAATATGTTAAACTGTAATATGAAACAAGTTTGATTTAAAATAGGGTTCAGCAGGCAATGTTCATTCACTTAGTCAGCAATACCAATTTCAATGTGTGGAAACCAATAAACACAGTTTACCCTGTTCTCAATTTGAGTTGTATGGGCACAGATATATGAAACTAACTTATTAAAGATAACACATGGCACTACAAGGTGTAATTTTCATTTTTTTTCTTTTGAGAGTTGAATTTCTGGTATTTCATCCACTAAAGTTTTCAACTTAGAAGAAATTTTTTGTGAAAGGCAACTTCAAATATTATGTTTATTAGTGAGCACCCCCCTTTTTTCTTCTTTAAGATGGGACTATTTTGATATATATAGGGAGATGCAACTCTGAGTGCAACATGTTTGAAAATGCCACTTTAAAATTGTCAACTTTGAAAATGCAGAAAAGCTGTCTGTCATTAGTGATGACATAATTTAAAGAAAGATGGAATAAAAAATCTTTAGAGAATTTTTTTTTTTCGTACTAATTTTGTCAATGTCCTTGAAAATAAATGAGATATTAGCTGTTGAAATAGAAGGAAATTTCACTATATTGACATGTTTTCAGTGTCAACTAGGGTAGTTTGGGATACCTACATATATAATCATGTGCATCATACATACATACATAATATATATATATATATATATATATATATATATATATATATATATATATATATATATAACCACAAAAATTGCTTATTAACAAAATTTTTCAAAAGGGAACTAAATTTTCCCCATAGCAGAAATGCTTTCCATTTTCATATTTTTTATATAAAATAAATTTGAAAGGAGCAATTTAAACTATTATTTGATTTATACAAAACATGAAATTTTATAAGAAAAAAATTAAAATGTTTAAAAAACTTTTTCGTTAAAAAAAAAAAAAATCTAATCCCCATTAACTTGATGGTGTATGTATCTTTGATTGTTGGAAAAATGATGCAATATTGAATTCCCTACTCGTACCACTGCTACCACCACCAATAACAACAACTGATGGATTTTATCAGTTTGCTATTAAGCAAAACAAGATTATCAATTGATAATCTGAAGTTGTTTTGCTGTGTATGTATTTATCTATTTTTTTTTATTATTTTCTCTCTGTTTATACAAGCCTACTATCCACTTGTATTGTGTCCAAATACATGGAAAACAAAAACAGACATCAGCTTCCTTACTTACAATGGCAAAAACTGTCAAACACTTGGCTAGTTATGAGAGAAAGAAAATTATGACTAAATTTTTGTCAACTAAATCTTCCTAATTATTCAACAATCATAGAACAAAAAGTGAACAAATTTAAAATAAAATTAAATCTTCCTGACAAATTTTTCTTCCTTTCAATTTTAGTGGGAAAATCTGAAAAAAGATTTTTTTTTTTTTTTTTTTTTTTTTAAATCCTTAAAATTAAATTTTATTAGAAATTGATTGCTAGCTGGAAATGTTTCAAGTCAAAATATCTTAAAGAACATTTTTTTAAAATCAGAGATATTTTTTTAAATTCTTTATTTTAATTAAAATGCTATTATTTACATTTTTAATTGCTTGCGATTGCTTTCTTTTTATGTTCAAATAGCTAAACATCCAATTAATTGGCTTATTCATTTGGCTATTAATTGTTAATTTATGCACTTAATTTCCAACTTTGAAAGGAATAATCTACTCTCTCTCACTTTATTGAAAAAGGATTCTATTTCTTATCCTGTTCAACTTTTATTTGTTCTTTTTTATCTTTAATTTTAAAAATTAAAGAAAAAAAAGAACCAAAGTTATTTTTAATTTTATTTTTTCTCTGGTGTATTATTAAAATGTCCTTTTTATATGTAATGTAAGACATTACATAATTCAAATATACACTTAGATTTGTATTTGAAACATCATTTCAAGACTTTCTCTTCCCTGCTTTGGAACTGCTGCCACCAATTTTATTTGCATAAAACTCAGGGACGTAGAAAGTAAAAGAAAATAATATTGGAATATAATTTTTCCTTTTCCAACTCCAAAATTAATCAGGTTAATTTTTTTAATCTTCTTTACAACTTTAGGATCTTGATTGTTTGGGGTTAATATATTCAGCAGAGAGTATAAAGTTTTAATTTTTAAACCTTGTTGCTAAGTAGGTTTAAATTTATTACTTTAATTCACCTATCAATGAAAAAAATTACAAAACAGGGCAATAGTGAAACCTGCAATAATTTTTAATGAAGAATTTGCTATCAATAATCAATTCATTTTGAGTTTTTCTAAACTTAAAATATTACCAACCAGTTAGGCATAAGTTTCAAACAGATCCTTAAGATTTAGAAGAACAATTATCTAAATTTAACCCAAACCTAAAAACTTCAATATCTGTATGCAAATAACCTAATCAAGTTGAGAGAAACTTGTTGATATTAAGTAGTGGAATTTGTGGCAGCTGAGAAAATGGATTTGTGAAATTGAATTTTGATTATACTTACTGATATGACTTTTGTATAATCCAACCTTCTCTACACCCTATCCCATTACTAATCATCTCAATGATTTTTGTTACTGGCATGTGAAATAAGAGTAAGGGTGATGATGCACAGGTCTCCTTTACTATAGCCTAATAGAGATAAAGCCTCAGTCCTCCGAAACTAAAACAGTAAAACTGAGGGCGATGCTGTGCAGATTTCCTTTACAGTCCAATACATATGCAAGTTGTCTTTAAATCAGGATTGATTTCATTTT